GGAAAGGGTTCTAAACCTCTTAAACTCTAAATTTAACCGTATCAAATCTCACTTTATCTATCTCACTTCTCAGTCTCATTATATCCGCCTTCTTTGGACTATCTTCTGCACTAAATACATCTGGGGATGGATACATAGCTGGTGTAAAATGTCATAGCTCCACGGAAAACAATGTACATGGGTTGAGGCTCTGCCCTGTGAACTGCAGGGCCTAAGGAAATTGGGCTCTTGCTTTTAAGTATGGTGGTTGGAACGTTTAATTCTATTCTGTCATCCCTCAGAACAGCAAGCAGGAATGCACTGGTGTCATGTGGAAACCATGGCACGATGATGGATGAAATTAAATCCCTTCATTTGGACATAAACCATGGTAACATAAAATATGCAAAAAATCATGCTTGGTTTTCAATACTGAAAACACAAGGCCCCTCTTGGCAGACTGCAGAGAGGATATTACTCAGATCCAGACATGGTTTTCGTTATTTTAGTGAAGGATAAATACTTATGTGCTGAGATATTCCAGACCCATGCTAACACTGTTGTATATGACTCACACTACAGAATTCTGTGTGGATAGGAAGGACCTAGCTCTGTTCCCAAAGAAGGGCTGGGGAACTCTGCAAAGAGTGGGTTCACGTCATAGAGCCATCAAGATTTATCTGACACTCTCAAGTCTGGAAACTAAACCTCACAAGGATGAGCTTCCTTGACAGTGTTGGGATTGAAGCTTAGCACATTACTCAATTGTGTGTCCTGTGTTTCTCTTTTGTGGCTGGTCCACATATGAGGATAATAGCCTACTAATGCTTCCAGCTAAAGGAGTTGCTCCTGAAGCTCCAATAGTAGAGACTTCTGCTTTTAGTTCTGAAAGTCCCTTGGTTCATTCTATGCTGATGACCCATCAAGCCAAAGGGGTTGTTACAGAAGTGCCACAGCTCATCGTGTGATATATTTCCTGCACCAGCTGAAGCCAGGAGGTGCATGAAAAATGACATGTCAACCAAGATAATTTACACTGCAAACCTCAGAGCTGATTTTGTGTCTGACTCAAGTTTTGGAAGGTTTGGGCTAGTTCTTATTGTGTCATTAATAATTCCTGAAAGGTGTGTTAGAGCTCTTCGGCACTTACCTAAATATAAGTGGCCTGGTTAGCAGGGGTGTTGACTCACAGGTCCTACTGAAGTCAATGGAAACTCTAGGTGTTCAGCACCTTTGACAATGAGGCCACTTATTTAAGGGTCTAAGCTAAGTTAAGGCACATAGGACTGAAAATGTTGGCCTAAGTGACTGGCCCAAAGTGACACCATTGTGGAACCCAGGAGGAGTGTCTCCAGTGCTCTGCTTTAACGGATAGTATCTAATGCTTCTTTAACTCAGATTGGTACCGTTCCAGGAACATTTATAGTGTCAATAACCTAGACCAATTGTTTGGAAAGAGAGGTTCTAATGCACATTCCCATGAGCAGTTAGCTGGAATCCTGATCAAGACCTGGACTCACTGGTTGACTGAAGCAAGCCAGTGGCAGCTTCTAGGGGCAGGGAGCCACTGCAGGGTAGGGCAGGGCTGCGTATGGCACAGAATATCCTGCTTACACAGAGGAAACTCCTTCCTACGCGAGTGGGTCATTTGGACATTTCTTTCTTTTCCTAAACTATTGCAAGGGGTTGGCCACATGCCCATCTTGATTGTTATTAAGCAGGGGCTAAGGGTTTGGGCTCTGTTCATTTCTTGGCGTTCTTAAATGTGCACAAAAGTATGAAACATTTGCTCTTCCCTGACTGTCAGCAGATAGCAGCACTGAGCTGAAAAGCTGGGCAACAGGGAGGGTCCTGAACACTGAAATTTCCAAAACCGCTTTCATTCTTCAATTCATTCCCTCTTTCTGCTGCTTCACCTTCCTCCTGTCACATTGGCCAGGCTCGGTAGAATTCACTCACTCTTCCTCTTTGGGGCAGCTCGGCTGCATTGTGAAGCCAAAGGAATGGCTCGTACTTATGGCCTGGATGGTAATGGGAGCAGAGTTAGGCTAAAATAATACATAAAATAAGAATAATAACTAGTACTTACATAGCACTTTTGCGGCACAGAGAGCAATCCAGATACATAGCTAGAACTCAGTTTCCCCATCTCTAAAATGAGGATAACGATACTGACCCCTTTTGTAAAGCACTTTGATGCAAATCACCATGTCAGAGGCAGGTGTTATTAATTATTATGATTACTACTTACATAAAGCTTTACAGACTTTGGTTTAAACTCTCTTCTGAGGATAACCCAGGTCTTTCAACCCCACCCCATTCTCCAGCAGTTATAAACCAGAAACATCTTACACCATTCAGAAGTAGAGTCTTAGCAAAGAGGTACAGTGAGTCTCATGCCCCTAGCCGTGGGGGTGGAACTAACCGAACTCCTGCTGAGGGCCGGCAGGCAGCTTGTGCACACTCTAAGTCCCATGCTGATTTCGTAGCCTTTTATTTTGCACTTCTGTGAATGACTGTTCAGGGCAAAGGTTATTCAGGCCAAAAATTCAGATAGCCTGTAGCATTGATTCAATCTTCATTATATTCTCCTCCTAGAGACAATAATTATGAGTCTGGATTATTAGAAAATGCTCAATTTTTCTTGGCTAGCTCAAATTAATATTTTTTTAAAAAGGGAATGTCCTGCCTAGATTAAACTGTTTGTTCTAAATTTTCCCAGTGGAGGTTACCAAAATCCCAACAATGTTCCTCTAATTTTATTTGGACGAATGAACAGCACACATGTAGTAGCATGTGGTTACAGCAGAAAAAGGATAAGGCTTTAGCCCCGCCCCACTTCTGTTGCATGATTGTTACTCAGATTGTAATTGTGACCCTCTTTTTATTAAATGTTTGGACAGTGCCTACCCCTATGGAGCTGTGATCTCAATAGGGGCCGCTAGATGCTACCTTTGTGGCTAAGTTAATAACCATAATAATTAGCAGGCCAATTTAAAACATGTGTTGTGATTACCCCCTCTAGCACTGACTGGGATCTGAGCAATTAGCTGCTGGTAACGGGAGAATCAGCAGAGAGCATAAGGTCTGCACGCCACATAAGTTGCACTAAAGGCGTGATCCAAAGCCCACTGAAGTCAGTAGAAAAACTCACATTCAGCAGACTTTGGATCAAGGCATAAGAGGTGCCAAAGGTCTTGTGCTGGATGTCTGCACAGCAGGAACCTCATCTTGGGGTGCTTATTGTTAGCATGGTAGCACCAAGTGTACCCAACGGAACAAGGTGAGAGTGCATTTAATAGTCCAAACAAACTTAGTACAGCCAGAGCCTGCACATAGCAGCTCTTGCCTCACCTAGATCTGGCTGCACGTGGCCCCACCCATCACAGGGGCATGCTCTTTTAGGCCCCTTGCCCCTTTCTCGATCCATACCCACATGCAGCCCAGCTCACAGAGGCGGAGAAGCCCAATACAACCTCTTGTACCCTGATCCTGCAAACAGTGATACATGTGCTTTCCTTTACGCAGGTGAGTGCTCTCGTTGAAGCCAAGAGGAGCGTTTATTTATGAAGAATTAGGTGCACGCAGAAACCTTTGCAGGATTGGTGCCAGAGCAATCATTGGTCTCCCTAATCACTTGGGGGGATGGTTTCATTTTTTATGATGTTCTATGTTTTAACTCAACATCTGCTGTTGCAAAACCCCTTCTCCAGGGGGCCCTACTGATGTGCATGTTGCTCTGGCCTCAGCCATGTGCTCCTCTCGAGTACAAATCCCCCCTCTCTTCCATTCCCAATTCCCTCCCGCCCATCTCCAGCAGTGATTTATGATCCTTTGCACAGTGTAATCTGCATTTCTATCACCTGCCAGAGCTAATGGAGCATGCAGAGACCAGACGAGATTGGCCAGTCTCACTCATTCACTTTTCTTTTTCCTCTTCAGCCTTCTGCTCTGCCAAAAAAGTGAAGGGCTGAACGCTGAGATTCAGTGATGAATCTATGAAAGTGCTTTTTTTCTTGGGAAAACGTGCTCCCATCCCTTCCTTCTCGATTTGGTGTCTGCTCTGCACACCCTCCCTGGATGGACATGGCTGTTCTAGCAATAGTAGCTGCACATGGGAAATAGAACTTGTCAGTCATGTTCTTTCTGGTGGCAGGGGGAAGTACATCTTAGTACAGTGAAGTGAGTTTAACACAGACATGGGACCAAGCTGAATAGTGTAGACGCAGCACGGGTCTGTATTTCAAAGTTCAGCGATGCTCATGTCCAGAGGTTCAATCCATTCTCAGGGACCTGATACTCCCATTCAAACTCATAGAATCCTAGAATATCAGGGTTGGAAGAGACCTCAGGAGGTCATCTAGTCCAACCCCCTGCTCAAAGCAGGACCAAACCCATGCTGACCTTGGGCACAGATCCAGAAAAGCACCTAAGCAAATGCATAGCTTTAGGCACTTTAATAGTCCTATTGACTTCTATGGAACTATTCACATGCTTAAAGTTATGCACATGCTTTGCTAGATGGGGGCGCCAATCCAAACGTAGACCGTATTGCAGCTCTTAGACCCTCAAGCATTCAAAAATCATGTGAGGGTTCCTCTTCCCCTGCAAAAAATCACAAGATAGGCTTAAAAATCACGAGCTGTTTATTTTTTAATACAGGTTGGCTGCTTTTTACTTTCCTTCTAGGTTTTGAACCTTATGGGCTGCTGTCTTCAAGCTTCTCTCTATAACCATGAGGGCTAGAAACTTACTCTTTTTTTTTTAACTGAAAGCTGAGATTCTCACTGTAGGCTGCTGCATCCCATCATCAGCCGGGGTAAAATAATCAGCACACCCAGTTCAGTTTGTAGCCTCTACTTCAGGACCCTGTTCATTCTTTGCCAACACACACAGAGGTACAAAGGGAAACACTGAGCAATAACATAAAGCAATGGTTCTCAACTCAGGGTACGCAGAGGTCTTCCAGAGGGTAAATCAACTCATTTAGATATTTGCCTAGTTTTACAACAGGCTACATAAAAAGCACTAGTAAACTCAGGACAAACTAAGATTCTCTACAGACAATGACTTGTTTATACTGCTCTATATACTATGCACTGAAATGTAAGTATAATATTTATATTCCAATTGATTTATTTTATAATTACATGGTAAAAGGGAGAAAGAAAGCATTTTTTTCAGTAATAGTGTGGCTGGGACACTTTTGTATTTTTATGTGTGATTTTGTAGGCAAGTAGTTTTTAAGGGAGGTGAAACTTGGGGGTAGGCAAGACAAATCAGACTCCTGAAAGGGGTGCAGTAGTCTGGAAAGGCTGAGAGCCACTGACATAAAGTAACAGTTGTGTTCCTAACTAAGACTGTAGGGCCAGATTAATGGCCAAAACCATCTGTGATCTGGGGGGGGTTCCACATGGCCTGCTTGCCCTCTCATAGTCTTCTGCTGTAACCACAGGAGAGTGTACTCCAAGCCTTCTCCTGGTCCTAGCCTTCTGCCTGGAGCTAGGCCCCTCCTTTATATCCCCTACCCGGGAATCATCAAACACAATCATTTCATGTGGTTCAGCTGAGTCAGATGATTCCCAGCACCTGCTCGCTGGCCTTCTCCCCGGCCATAAGGGGGCAGACCACCCTGATGTTCACATAATCCCATGACTCGAGGAGCTGGGGCTTTAAAAAAAATATCAAATACTGTGAGACTCACCATAAAATCATGGCCGTAGCAACACTACTACTGCCAGCAGTGGAACTACTTGAGGAATAAGTTACTACTCAACCTGTGGCAGAATCTGGCCCGAAGATAGAGGCCGTTTGCAAATTTGGCTCCTGTTCTCTTCCAAAATGGGGGTGTATTCACATGCATGATTTTGGATAAGAACTGTGTCTCATTTTCAAAGATGCCACACTCCTCCGAAATCTGATATTAACATGAAACATCTGTCACATAGCAGAATGCCCTTCCATCAGAGTTTGTAAGAGATTGTGTATCTCACACACACACACACACACACACAAAACCCACCTACCAACTTTTCACTCATCTTTTTCAAGACAAAAATGTAGGGCAAAGAACCCAGAATGAAGCATACAAGAAAAATAACACAACAGCAACTGCTTAAGCAGAGGTGCAGGGTCCATTCCAGAGGCATACACGAAATTTTGTATGGCGTCCGTTAATGGTGCAGCAAATAAACTCATGGCAAATACTGTAACTTGGCTGGGTTTTAAAGAGTCTGGATAATTTTATGGCCATCAATAATATTTGTGGTTTTGCAGGGTTGTTGTTTTATTTTTTTTTAAAAAAAACCCTCATCTAATTCCCTGCTACGGGCTATTGGGGTCAGAAAAGAATATTTTCACCCATGTACAATATTGGACAATTGACCTGGTGTAATATACAGGGATCTATGGCCTTCCTCTGAAGCATAAAATCAAGGTCTTGGGTCCCTATCTTCACAGAACTCCATGGCCTGGGGCCAGGGTACCTAAAAGATCATCTGAAGCTCCAGGATAAAGACCATGGTTGACAACTATGCCCCTCTGGAGCTGGAGGAGTAATGTGGAGTGTACCCCTGGTGGCATGAGCGGAGGGATGCGCTGGCTGCCCAAGTACACACCTCGGGTTTCTGATGGAATAACGCTTGCGTGACTATCCAGTCCTGGTAGTTGCACCGCTGTGGCTGCGCTCTATTTTTAGCATGCTAGCTCAACCAGAGTTAGCACAGGTATGTCTACTCAAGCTGGAATTTATACCTTCCAGCTCCATTGTAGACCTAACCTATGTTTGGCCTCTTCTTCCTTCCCCCATGTTGGCAGGGAGAAGTCTCCAGCAGGAGGCTAACTGGCACGGAATGAAGAATACGCAGGGATAGATTTTGCCATGCCTCAGAATTTCACTCTGCTTGTGCCCATGACACTATTCAGAGCCTGTGATACTGGGAAACCATGACATATGAACACACAAATACATCCTCGGGAAAATCCACCTTGATGAAAAATCCCCTGGCAGAAACCTTTTGGTGCTTCTGACTGGGGAGTTTGTGCAGGGAAAGTTGGGATTGTGGCCTTTTCTTCCCAAATAAAATCTTTGAAAAATCGATTAACTTTGCCTGTAGAGGAATTTTAGATGCAGGAAACTCCAGTCTGTTGCAATTGCTCAGTTTCTCTTTGACAAGCCCCTTCACCTCCTAAGGCCAACAATCTCCATGGCACTCTAGTACTCTCAAAAGGGTTGCTTAACATTGCATCATGTAGTAAACGAGAACCACCCCATGTCAAAGGGTTACTAGGTTTGCCATGCTGGTTTCCTAGCTACTGCACTGCAGAGATGGCATGACTTTGGTCTGGAGGCAGAAGTTTCAGGTTTCTATTCTATTACAAAGTGTGTTTGTGGGAGAGATGTGGGGTGGGAGGGCAGACTCTGACATCCACATGGACCACAGTGTACTTTCAATCTCTTGGCAAAGCCAGGTTAGTTTTGTGTCCCCTTCTTCACCTTTTGTCACCATGGTGTTTTTCATTTAATCAGCCTGCATGTAATATAAATGGTGTGAAATGACACTGACTTTGCAAAGTTCAACAAGGACATTAGACCAAATGTCGAAAATTAGGTACCAAAGGGGAGCTTTTCAGAGGCAGAAATAGGAGTTAGGTGCCCTTGACTTTCAAATCTTTTTGTGATTCTTGGGCCTTTGACAATCTACCTCCCTCCAGTCAAATTTAGACAGATGATCAAGTTGCCCTGATTTCCAGAGTTGCCTTGCGTATCGATACCCAGCCACAGCATTTTATGCGAGATTAAAATTACTAAGCATGATCTTCAGGCAAGGACTGTACAGCCCAGAAAAGAAAAGCTACAGAATCTCCTCACATTCCTTAATCCTCATAATCGGCTTCTTCTCCCTTAAGCGTTTCAAAGTCTCAAGACCAGATCCCCATCTGAGCCCCAATGCAGTAAAGCACCTAATCATATCCTTAACTTTAAGATCATCCTTAACTTCCACTTATTTCAATGGGAGTTAAGCATGTGCTTAAAGATAGACACATGCTTAAGCATCTTTCCTAATTAAGCAGGGCCTTTGTGATGTCAGTGGAGCCAGTTGGCACCAGCTGAGACTCTGTCCTCCTCTGCCCTCTTCAAGATTCCCTATAAGGATATGAGTTAGTTTCAGAGAACCCATATTGTTTAGGTGACCAGCCAAAACAAACCAACACGGATTTTGTATAATCAGGTATCGAATAATCACAGAGAGCCGTTTGTGATCATTCCACCAAGTAAAAACAATAAAACTCACAATACCAAATCCTTGAGTAAACCCCAGGCATTTGCAATGTGCTTTCAGAGATTTCCAGAGCCAAAAGAGACGTGAAATTCACCAAATCTGTTTTTTGCTGCGAATCATTCAGGAATCTCCAATGCTGCATCGCACAGAGGGCTGTGAGGATCCATCAATTAGAGTTTTAAATCTCTGAATGGAAGGGGCTATAGAAAAAGCAAACCAGATTTATTATTATAATCATTATTATTCAAATACTGTGGTAACGCTGGGTAAAATTTTCAAAGGCATCCAAGTTCCTTAGGAGCCTAAATCAATGGGTCAGGCTCCTAGGTCATGTAGACACTTTTGAAAAATTCACCCACTCTAATAAGATGCCATGTTTGCAGCAATTATGGTCCAAACCAGAGGGCAGTGGGTTAGGATCCAAGACCTTGGTTCTTCTCCTAGCTCTACAGGGAAAGTCACTTCACTGCTCTATGCCTCTGTTTCTGCTCCTTCTCTTTGACCTGGTCTACACCTAAATTTAGTTCAACCTAGCTACTTCACTCAGGGCTGCAAAACATTTAGCGCCCTGGGTGCGGTAGTTAGGTTGAGCTAACCCCCACTGCAGACACAGGTATGTTGATGGAAGAATTCTTGAAGAGGTGGATAACCTACGTCAACAGAAAAACCCTTTCTGTCAACGTAGGAAGCATCTACACTACTGCACTGCAGCTGGGCTGCTGTAGCCACGGCAGTGGAGACATACCCTGTGTCTGTCTTGTCTATTTAGATGATAAACTTTTTAGGGCAGGGACCTTTTCTTTCACTGTGTGTTTGTAGTGTCTAGTACAATGAGGTCCCTAGGTGCTATTGGACAAAGAAATAATAACAATAAAGGGGTTTTGCTAAGTTAGTAATATTTACCTGTGTTGTCAAGTGTTCTGAGCTCTTTGGATGAAAGGGTCTATGCAATGCCAAGTACTGCGTTGTTATTATTGCTATTGACAATGTAAATGGCAGCACCATAATGAGACAACAGCATCAGGTCTCTGGGAGACAGAGGGTGGGGAGACGCTAATGCACGCAGTCAAGTTACATCTTGTAGTATTAGTGCGTGCTTGGGTGAGTGGTTCTGACATCTAGAACATGAACCAGATGTCCCCTTTCTTACCCCATATGTTGTAGATGAGAGATTTGAATTAATTTATGTGGAAATAATGGCTATTTTGCTATTGCTGAAACTCTGGGTAGCAGGCAGGGTGGCAGAAGTTGACGGCAGCCTCTTTGTCTTAAAAAATTCTAGAAACAAACCTCCCCATCTCTGTTGCTAACCAACCTTTCTTCATTTCCTGCCCCACCTTCACCATCATGTTTTGGTTGTCAAAAAACTGACGAATGTTGGGATTTTGTGGGTTTGTTTTTTTCAGTGAAAACACAAAAACTTCAGATGAAGACATATATTGCCTCATGCCAATTTCTGTTTGTCAAAACTGGCCATAATCCATCGGAAAAAAAAGTTTTGATTATTTTTTTTTTACCAGATCTAATGACGAACCATTGATTGGGAGACAATTGGGTCTAATGCTAGAGCAGTGGACTGAGTGTCAGGACTCCTGGGTTCTATTCTAGACCGTGGCACTGACTCACAGTGTGACTTTGGGCAAGCCACATCCCTTTTCTGGCCTCAATTTCCCTATGTGTAAAATGAGGATAATGACAGTGGAAATAACAGAGGGATATCAAGAAGAGTAATTATGTAAAAGTTCTTTGAGATGGTAGGAAGGAAGATGGGAAAGAATTATTATAGCCTTAGCAGTTGTGGTAGCACTAAGGGAGAGGGATTTG